GTTAATCCGTATCTACCACTAGGGGGTGATTTTTATTTTTTTAAAAAAAATTATTCTTTTGTCCTAAGGTGAACTTAGGTCAAAAAAAGGGCAGGAAAGGGTTTTTTCTTTTTCTTTTGGTTTGTAAGTCAAGGCTCTGCTCGCAGGTCGAAGCAACTTTTTGCGAATTGAGCCGTTCGGAACTCGAATCGTTCATAAGTCGAGGTAACACTGTAGCTGACATCCAACTCTTTAACAAAGAGAAAAAAGGGTCAATATCTTACCCAAACCTCCAACTACAATTGCTGAACAAACCAAAACCATACATGGTCTGAAACAAGACAAGACAAAGTTTTCAGAGCCCATCTAAAAGAAAACAAAGGGAGTATACAGCCCAGAGTGGGCTTGGTAGCCAGATGTATGGTACATATATTAAATAAATAATAATAACTATTGTTTGCATCTCTCCAAAGAGTTTAATTAATGGAAAGTAACCAAAAGAAATGCCTTGTTTTACATTCCTACCAACCTGAGTGTACTTAGCAAGTTTGCAAGCAGGACCTCCAAACTGTTCAAGAATTTAATGGTTAAAAGCAACATTTTCCGTTGTGATCTGGGCAGTCTTATGTACTTAACACAATGCAAAAGTGTCATGCTTTGAATGCCAAGTGATCCTGCAGAGATCTAGGAGTGCACCTAAGCAGTCACAGACTCGAAAGCAGTCTTCAGAGGAAGTCTTACACAGAGCATACTGCTGTAGCTAAACTGGATGCAACCATGGTGTGAAAGACTGAAGGAAAGTCTATAATCTCTAAATAAATTATTTTTGACTCATTAATCTGCGCTGATAAAAAATACTGCTATCCACCATCATTTGTTCTTACTAAGGATACAGTTACACCAATGAAATAAACCAGATGATGGCTTTAGAATCTGGTGTAAAGTCATGTGGTAATCACATGGTTTTAAAGTGTCCTCTTGGGAAAACTTTTAATCCATTTTTATGCCGTGTTGTATACAGTCAAGGGGGTTACACAGGCTTTTAGAATCATTACATTTGGTGCCATATCCTGCACCAACCATCCTCACACTGGCTACCTCTCACAGTTACGAGCTGTTGTTGCTGTTTCCGCTACTGTTGTGTTATTTTTACCAATGTTTTCAATTTCTTGCAATCTGACAAGCGGAGCAGAATGACACATAGGGAAAAAAAAATTAAAACAGAAGTTTCCTTGCAGCCCAAAACACATGCATGCAGACAGACAGACAGTAGCCAGGGCTGAAATTGACCACAGACATTCCTGACTCGGCTTGCAAAGGATGGAGATGCACATGCATGCACACAGAGGGTGGAGAATGAGAGGGAATAGGAAAGCCCCACCACCACTGAATGGCAAACCCACAGACACAGTATACACCAACAGAGGCCTATGCTGCAGGGTCAGAAGACCAAGCAGTCGTAAGATCGAATCCACGTGACGGAGTGAGCGCCCGTCACTTGGCCCAGCTACCGCCAACCTAGGGGTTCGAAAGCATGCAAATGCGAGTAGATAAATAGGGACCACTTCAGTGGGAAGGTAACAGCGTTCCGTGTCTAAGTCGCACTGGCCATGTGACCACGGAAGATTGTCTTCAGACAAACGCTGGCTCTATGGCTTGGAAACGGGGATGAGCACCGCCCCCTAGAGTCGAACACGACTGGACAAAAATTGTCAAGGGGAACCTTTACCTTTACCTTAAACCCAATTCAACTACTTTTTTCTTACTCTAACTGCACTCTCAGATAGCACTGAAACCAAGAGCATCCCCAAACTGTGAATTAGTGATGGGAACAGCAAAAAGGTTTGTTTTGCTTTTGTGCCCCTACAGTGGTGTCTCGACTTACGAACGTCCCTACTTATGACCATTTTGAGTTACGACCAGCTCTGGCCGTAAAATTTTGCTTCTATTTGCGACTGGAGCTTTGAGTTATGAACAGAAAAAGGCAAGGGGAAAAGGTGGGAAATTCAAATTGCTAACTGTAGATGGTGATGAGGCTGCTTCTTTGTAGCTCTTTCGCCCCAGCAGTTAGAGAGTGTGCGATCGGAGGAGGCTGCCTGGTAAGATAAGGCGCTGTATTCCTGCTTTTTAAAAACTGTTCTGGGTGGGTTTTGCAGTGTGGTTTTGGGCTGGGGGGGTTATGTTTCTGTGCTAAGTTGTTGTTTTGTTTTTTGGTGACCCGCTGTGTGACGGGTCTTGCTCCTTTGTTTATTTTTTTAATTTTTTTGCAGTCACAGTGCTTTCGGGGCTTGCTTTGATGGTTTTTGTTTGTTTGTTTGTTTTAAAGTCCCAGCGACTGCGCTTGCTTTGCTGTTTATTTTGGGGTTTTTTTTAAAGCCCCAGCGCCTTCCAACTGGGCTTGCTGTATGCTTTTTTTAATTTTTTGCCAGGACGGATTAATTGCGTTTCAATGCATTTCAGTGGGAAATGGTGCTTTGACTTATGACCATTTCAAGTTACGTCCATCTTCTGGAACAGATTATGGTTGTAAGTCAAGGCACCACTGTATTTTTTTTATTTCCGTTATGAGTCGGTTCTTTCGTTTGACATGAAAGTGACCAGGTCCTTCAGGTCATTTCTTTTCATTTCCCCCATTCGTTTGCTGGAACTTTGATTGATATTTTCATTAGCCCAGTTTGGCAGGAACACTTTTGCACACCTGCACATGAGGGTTGGGGTTAGAAGCAAATGAAAACAGACCTATAAAGGAACAGTTGGGCTTGGAATCATAAACAACAAAATAAAGCTCTTGGACCCAACCTGCGGGAACATAGGTTCTCCCAGCTAGTATGCTGGCTGATGATTGTGCCCTCCAAAAGAGTCTTGCTGACTGACTGACATCCTTGGCTGAGTGCTGGGTCCCCTGCTTATTTGAAGTGCCAGTGGCTGCTCAAGAAATCAAAGTGCCAAGAGAAAGGCCTTATTGGGGGGGGGGAGTGGAGGGGATGCTAGCTAAAAATATTTTCCAAAGGGGCAGGAGGGTGCTGACGGTTTGCTGTTTTATCCAGCCCATTCCCTTAACCCCTTGCACATGCAGGGGGAGGGGAGGTGTGTGTGTGTGGGGTTATGCAGGGGGCAGGCAGAGGTGCATGCATGCAGGGGTGGGTGGGAGTGCATGCATACTTGCACATGTGCACGCACATTCCTGTTCCATCAGCCCTCTTAAGTTGTTGAAAGTATCCAGTGTGGCCCTCAGGGTCAAAAGTCTGGAGACCTCTGCTTAAGAGGATCATTTTCAGAAAGAAACTAAAAGATTACAAAAGTGAAAGAAAGATGCTGCAGCTTGGAATCAACTTTGTGGTCTTTTAAAAAAAAATCCTTTGTGGCATTTCATTTCGTCCTATTTCATTACCATCTTGAGATTACATGTTTTATGTTCTTAAACTAATCAACCTGCATACGTCAAAAAGAATGTTGATTACTGGGAGGCAAGACTTAAAATGGCCTTCCTGTAGATGTTAAGAAGTACAGGGGCAGAACTGAGCCATGTATCACTCCCAAACTAAAGGCCATGAAGTCAAACACATATTCCTAGCACCACCAATGGAATTCATCTCACAGGAAAGTCCTGGAATCACTATATTCCACCTCCTAGTCCTTAACAATCAGAGAAGGAGAAATATATTAAGATCAAAGTGCCTAAGAGATTCAGGAAAATAATGCTAGTCTTCTTCAGTCTATTCCCCTGTCTCCCGCCCATACACGTCATTGTAAATCACCCACCAGGGTAATCCTAGCTTGTTCAAACATACCTGTTTCCCACAAATTCAAACATAATTTAGAATTGAAGATTTCCAGCTTCTTTATTGTGCCACATCGGAAGAAACAGAAATGGGATCCAATTTGGGCTCTTGCTTGCATGCACGACACACAACAGTAACAGTGTTGTGTCAGAAAAAGAACTTGGTTGGGTTTTAACTGAACTTGCTCTTTAGGGCAGCTGACAAAGGGACTTTCCCAGACTGTGCCTTGGGACTGCTCAGTCTCAGCACCTGTAGGTATGCTAGCTTTGGTTCTGCTTTCTAACTGCAAACTCATGCCTCAAGACTTTTTTTTTTTTTAAAAAAAGAACAGACACACAATTGTAACTGAACCACCATAGCAGGTTATTCCCTTGCATTAATTATGGTGCTGGATATCATGCTATTGTCAATGTTTGTGACTACAGAGTATTCCTTACTGCTAATATTCAGGAACTATTAGTGGAGACAAATGGTATAAAACTGGTTTGAGATTTTTTTTTAACCACCATAAATAATGGTTGATTATCGTTTCATTTCAGTATACAGTGGTGCCTCGCTTCACGATTCCCCCGCTTTACGACGAATCCGCTTTACGACAATCTTTTTGCGATCGCAATTGCGATCGAAAAACGCTGGTCTAAATGGGGGAATTTCGCTTTGCGATGATCGGTTCCCTGCTTCAGGAACCAATTCTTCGCAAAACAATTATTTTTAAACAGCTGATCGGAGGTTTCAAAATCGCCACCGGGTAACTAAAATGGCTCCGCGCTGTGTTTAGGGACGGATTCCTCGCTATGCAGGCAGCGAAAATGGCCGCCGTATGGAGGATCTTCGCTGGACGGTAAGTTTTAAGCCCATTGGAATGCATTGAAAGGTTTTCAATGTGTTTCAATGGGGTTTTTATTTTCGCTTTACGATGTTTTCGCTTAACTGCGATTTTTCTGGAATGGATTATCGCCATTAAGCGAGGCACCACTGTAACTTGAAAGAAAAAAGTTGATAAATGTTATGTTATCTTCCACATATTTGACAAGCAACCGGATTTTTTTGGTGCTTTAGGAATCGCTACTCACTTAAATTTTGCAATTAAAATAAAACATGCATAGAATAATATAACCTTGAACATAAAGAGACAAAATCAATGTGCATTTTTTGGGATAACACATAGGCTATTTTATAAAATTAGCAGTGCTTCAGGGAGATTTTTCTTGCTAGGAACAGGGATAGTCACAGCCTTACCTCTCGTTTCCTGAGTCCCCTGTTGTGAAAGGGGGCATCTGGGTTGCTAGGTTGTGTGAGCTGCTATGCATATTTTGTCCTGGCGAAGTGTGGCTTACAGAGTGTGATGGGGGCCCGCTGTCCGCAGCAGTCCCACTCTGGCTCGAGTGAGCAGTAGAGAACAGTGCAGCTACAGGAAAAGCAAGCACAATCACTATTATGATAGGCACACATTCCAATTCCTCATACAACAGGAGGATCCCACTTGGGTGTTCAGATACAAATTAAACAGATGAGTTTTAGCATTGAAAAGGCACTGCAGTTTCAAAAATGTAGCAGCCTTTGCAATGAGTTCATAAATTTAAAAAAACTGTGACAGTAAATTCTGAACTTTGCTTGAAATGTGGTGATATTTGAGAATGGCTAGGTTGCTAGTACTGCAGTTAAAAAAAAAGGAAAACAAAACAGAATCCTAAATTGTCATCGGAGTTTCTCCAGACAACAGTGGGAGGCTGGCTCATCCTCCAAGAGCTGGGAGAACAGCTTGCTAATTGAGGAAGGAGAGGGGAAAAAATGCTTTTTATCACCGATAGTAGAGGTTGGCATAAACCTCGTTTCAGAGGTTTGTGCCAGTTTGTACGCATGGCAGCACAGGTGTGGCATGTCCCCTTCCCCAGCCTCTCCAGCCAATGACCCACTCACCAGCTGGCACAGGCACCTCTCCTCCTCTGCTTTGGCTGTTTGACCAGTTGCCAGCAGGAGCACAGGTTTGTCTGTGCCCCTGCCTCCTTGTCTGAGTGGGCAATCAGGCAAAGAGGTGGGGCAGGGAAGCCGGTGCTCCTGCCGGAGACTGGTTGAACAGCCAAAGAGGAGGAGAGGGCTGTGCACCAGCTCGTGAGTGGGGGATCCAGCCAGGGAGGTGTGGGAAGGAAACGTGTGACACTTATGGTGCCGTGTGTATGAACTGGCACGAACTTCCAAACCAAGGTACGTGCCCATCTCTAACTGATAGCTGAAAACTAACTTGTGAGTAGAAAGCTACTGGAACATCAGAACCTGCCAATGGATGAAAATGCCATAGATATTGCTGGCAATCAACTCACAAAGCCCTTCCAAGTCTAGCAAGTAGTAGGCACAGCTGTCACACCAGAAATAATATATATGCAAAAACCATGTGCAACTTAACACTTTCATATTCCTGCCCTCATAATTCCACTTCAGCCTTTGTTTTATGTGTACTATCTCTTTCTCTCTGTCAAAATCTAGATTATAAACTCCCTTGATTCAGCATTGTTAGGTTTGTAATGTTAAGTAATGACACATAGTGTTAGTCTCATCTCATTAGTACACTAAAAAAAACCAGTTTAATGCATTAAGGAAAGTCAGTGGCTGAGATTCGATTGGTGCAACTCTGCCAGGTGTAAATGCTGTTATTTTGATTTAAATGTTGCTCCATAATGCTAGAGCACTCTCTGGTTGGTTTACAATATAATTATGCAAGAAGCACTTTGCACCCCAGTGAGCAGGCTACTCATTTTACTGACAGTAGGATGGAAGGCCGAGTTGACCTTGAGCTGGCTACCTAAACCCATTAGGATCGAATTCAGATCACGAACAGAGTATTGGCTGCGGTATGTCAGTTTAATCGCTGCACCACTGAGCTCACTAAATGGTGATGATGTCTTCACCTGGTGATCTTCATCTTTATTTTAATTTAATTTACATTTTCCTATCCTGCCCCCCACAGGTTCAGAGGCTCCACAGAGTCTTTTCCTGGCAGCGAGTTTCTGATATTAAAGGCTCCCTCCACAAAGGGCCAGGGGGAGCTTAATGGAGCCTAAAGTGTGAGGACAGAAAGGTTAAATTAAATTAAAATAAATATTAACATTGGCAGGTGATTATATCATCACAATTTAAACCTGGTCTATTTGCACAACAGGATTTCAGCCAATGTGACATATATGGAAGATTTTTCATCCAGCAAAGATACTGTTAAAGCTGTTTAAAATGCTGAGGGAGAAACAAATTGAAAAGTTACAGATTAAACGAGAGAACGATTTAAATTCAAACTCATTAGAAGAAGAGTAGACTTATATATGTATCCATTTGCTCCTATCACTCTATGTTAATTATTTTTAAAATAATTTTTAAAATTCCTTTTTAAAAAGATATTAATTACATGGTACTATACCATCTAAGGGCAAGGGAGGAGAAAGAGGCAGCGAAAGAGGGTAAAGGAGAGCTGAGCCAGCTAATCAACACTTCAAAAAATTGATGCACATATGAATTCTCATAAAACAAACATTATTGGAACTGATATTACAAAACACTACAAGATAATATGATGCAATTTGCTTATATCACTAATATTTTGCTTGCTATGACTGTAAGAATGAGCAAGATCTGGATCTGGTGAAAAAATCTAGTAAGCCCTGTTATAACATGGGTAGGAAAATACGTAGCATCTTTCAGAAAAAAACCTCTGAGATTAAGGTAAGTTTTCAAGTATCGCATTGAACAATATTTATGAATATAAAGCATTATGACATCTGAAAGAAAATTATTATTTTCTCTAAAGTTCCTTTGTAAAAGTCTGCAAACATTTTATTTGTTATTGGAATGAGAATGGTAAAAAGTGAAAGGACTTAAGGTGAGTTTTGTCTCTGTTAATTATGTCCTTGCAAAGATAGACCATTGTTATTCCAATAAACACATACTTTATACATTTTCTCTGGTTAATGTGACTTTGTATTGAAACTGAATAGTAAACCTCTCCTCTTAGAAACCAAGCATATGATGAACCTGGATGGATCAGATCAAAGATTTCTCTAGCTCAGCCTTCCCCAATTTGGTGTTTTCCAGGATGCTACAGACTAATGCCCCATCATCCCTTAATCAGTATGGGTAATGGACTTGAGATGGTAGATGTTGCAGTCCAGCACCAATGAAGGGCGCCAGATTGGGGAAGTCTAGCTTAACATGCTCTTTCCAACATCAGCCAGCCAGCAGTTTCTGGGAAGTTGAGAACTAGGCATGATAGCAACATTTCTTCCAAAATGTGTCCTAACCAATGATATCTGTAGGTTCTGAACCTGAGAGTTTATTTTAGTGAAAGTAAGGAGATGTCCTAGTCACTAATAAAGCAAGTTTCACCAATTTCAGTGTGTCTGTTTTAGCTGGGACTCACACTGCATTTATTTATTTACAGTGGTACCTCGCTAAATGACAACCCCGCTAAACAATGAATCTGCATAACGATGACTTTTTGCAGTTGCTATAGCGATTTGCAAAACAGTCATTCCTATGGGGGATTTTCACTGGACGCCGATTAGGTCTGTGCTTGGCGAACCAGTTTTTTCCGGCTCCACAAAATGTCTGCCCTGTGTTTTCAGGACCCGTGCTTTGCAGGGCAGCCATTTTTACAGCTGATCGGTGCTCGCAAAATGTCTTCCCTATGGGCGATCTTCGTTGGACAACCAGGTATTTTCCCCACTGGAACACATTAAACCATGTTTCAATGCATTCCAATGGGAAAAGGGTTTTCGTATGACAACGATTTTGCTAACCAGCTATTTTTAATGGGCGGATTATCGTCGTCATGCGGGGCACCACTCCATTCATTCATTCATTCATTCATTCATTCATTCATTCATTCATTCATTCATTCATTCATTCATTTTCCATGCCACCTTTGTCCTGACAGTGAGACTCAGGGTGGTCACTACCTTTTTATGTGATAAGAATCCTCTTATGTAATTTATCCAGTACTGAATCAAATACAGTGCTGCCTCGACTTATGACCATTTTGAGTTATGACCAGCTCCGGCTGCAAAATTTTACTTCGACTTGCGGCTGGAGTTTCAAGTTATGAACAGAAAAAGGCAAGGAAAAAAGGCGGGAAATTCAAATTGCTAACTGTTGGTGGCAAAGAGGCTGCTTCTTTGTAGCTCTTTTGCCCCAACGGTTAGAGTGAGTGCGATCGGAGGCAGCTTCAGACTGCTGGTAAGGTGCTGCTTTCTGCTTTCTAAAAACTGGTGGGTTTTGCAGCATGGTTTTGGGCTGGGTGGTGAGATTATGTTTCTATGCTGTGATGGGTCTCGTGGGGTTTGCTTTTTGGGTTCCCCCCATTTCCGATGGGTCTTGGGAGGTTTCCTTGCTTTTTTGTTTTTTTTACCCCCATTTCCAATGGGTCTTGGGGGATTTGTTTGCTTTTGGGTTCCCCCCATTTCTGATGGGACTTGGGGGGTCTGCTTGCTTTTTGGGCTTTCCCCCCATTTCCGATGGATCCTGTGAGGTTTGCTTGCTTTTTGCTTTCCTTTTTTGCATTTACAATGGGTCTTGCACACTTCACTTGCTTTCTGCTTTCCTTTTTTTGCGTTTCCAATGGGTCTTGCAGTGTTTGTTTTTGTTGTGATTTTTTTCCTTTTCCGGAATGGAATAATTGCATTTCAGTGCATTTCAATGGGAAATTGTGCCATTTCGAGTTACGACTGGAGTTCCAGAACCAACTAAGTTCATAAGTTGAGGCACTGTACTGTATACAGGCACTCCTCACTTAACAACTGAGTTTCATTCTTATGACTCGGTTGTTAAGCAAACTGGTCATTAAGCGTGGAGCTTAAAAGCAGAAACAGGAAGGAGCTGGAGTAGGAGCTAACCAGAAGAGCAGCACCAGTGTTGCTGCCAGCTTGGTGGGAAAAATCCAAATAAACTGTGTTTCATGATAATTCTTTTTTTTAAAGAAATAAACAATCTGGAAAAATAAATGCTGATCATTCTTTACTCAAGATGTTTCTGCATAGTGTTTAAATCCAGAAAGTTTTTCCAAATTGGAGCTCAAATATATTTTAAAATGACACTCAATTACACTGTCACTGTTTAGTACCTCATTACAAAGATGCTCACCAGCAGAAAGACTATCCATCAGAAACATTACTACATAAACATCTTTTGTATTCCAAAAGCACACAAAATAAAATTAGATAAAGGTGATGGACAGTGTTATCTTGTTTGCAATTAAGATATAAGAGCCTACCTTCTTAAACTGGTACCAAGTTAAAGCTTTAAGAAAAAAAATATTCCACCCCCGACTTAATACAGAAAGTACTCTGTCATTTAAATAATTCTATCAAAATAAGGAATTGCCACCTTTTCTCTTGAAAACTACCAATAATGCTGAAATTCATTCTC